TATATTTACCTACTGGTCATTAAGTTATTTAAGTTTAGGTCAATTGTTATTTAGGTCAATAGACCCGCACCCGAGACAAATACCGATACAATGTATGGCGATATAGATGCGGGAGAGAACCAGTGCCGCATCGATGAGTTCAAAGAGATGACCGAACAGCACAAGTATCACATCAAACAGTTGGAGACACTGATGCGGATGTTGGACAACGAGACCGTCGAAATGAATCAGATCAAGAAGATTAAGGACGACGTCGAGTACTACATCGAGTCATGTCAGGAGCCAGTAATCAATACGACTCCTACCCAGACGTCAACTCCACAGACGGCAAACAAATTCAAACGTCTGAAAATCGGTTGCCCTTCGAGCGCACCATCGAGTAGTAGCCGACGTGTGGCCAACACTTCCACACCTAATGTTCCGTTAAGTCTCGCCAAAAGGTCGGCCAATAAAGCGCTGAAACCTTTGCCAAACATTTTGATGAACCAAACGCTGACACCAATCGGCAGATCAGTTGAGTCCTAAGCCCTTGACTGTCATTAGAAGTGAGTTTCGGTTTGAATTTGTTTTGATTTGAGTTTATTATAAATCCTAATATTGTTTATAATTACAGAATCAGTGAACAGATCCGTGAAACAGAAGACTCCGATACACAAGAGGACTATGGGATCAGTTGGTCGCAAGTGTTATATACCGGAGTACTTGGAGCGCATAGTTCTGGACAGCAGTCCCTACGGCTCGCCATTCACTCCAAAGACTATTGTGAAGAAGTCGAGGAATAATAAGACAATGAATAACACGACTGCTGTCAACAACACAACGCTCTTCAGCGACACGACAGCCATTCAAATGCATCGCTCGTTCCGGACGACTACTACTCAAACAAACGATAGTCTGAGACAAATGAGTGATGTCTGCAATCAGACCTTCGATGTCCCCATAATTGACAAAACCATTGATTAGTGGTTGACTCGAATGAACGACCGCTACAAGAGTATAGAATTGAATGACAGTTACTACTTCTGGTTTTCAAGTCACTTAAAACCTATTCTATGGCGGCGTGCACAAAGTACCTACGCAAAATTTTTGTCAAAAATTGACCCCCCTCCCCCCTACACACCCATCGTACATAGGAATTTAACATGGTGACATACGCTTTGGCATGACCCCC